TATATATATATATATATATATATATATATATATATATATATATATATTATTTTTAAAAAGACAGTGAAAGCCGTGACAAAGAGGGGGAAACGAGGGAGTTCAAAAGTTAGTCCCGGAGATGATCTTCACTTGTGTGGCGCAGCCGACTCTCCTCTCTTCCTCTCGCTTTTCTCTCAGCAACAGACCCTCGCTCGCACCGCTCCCAGCCAATCACAGCGCAGGATCCGGTGGACTTTGACGTAACGACCCTTCAGCCCCACCCACTCCGTTGAAAGTGAACGGGACAGGTCTTGGCTGACGTCACTTCCCCGGCAGACGATTGGGCAGGCGTGCCTCATCTTAGGGCCAATGGGCGCCCACTACGGTGATGTCACCACGAGTGTTGCCACCAGCTGTCCTAAGGGGGCGTGGCCTTCCGTCAACTCCTCGTTAACCCGGTGTTTGTTAACTTACAGGCAAGTAGTGGAGATGAACGTGTGTGCTGACTAAAAGATGTGCACATATGAGATTATTGGCTCCTGTGAGGCATGTCTCCTGCACGTGCGATCGCTTTGATACGTGGCATTTACACGGTGACCTTCAGGCTCTGCAACAACAAAAGGACACGACGCTGCCAAGCAAAAGAAAAGGGCCATAATAGTAAACATTACATAATCGTTTGGTCTGTAGTAGAATTCCAGACTCATGCTGAGGAAGGATCAGGGAGACGAAGCGCCCCCTAATGGTGTCACCTGGTGAACGTGTGAAAACGTCACGACCCCATTGAGGGGACTAGTGGGATGCGCAGACCTAAAAATGTTCTACTGATCTTTATATATATTTTGCTGCATGAATATAATGTACAAGAACATCCTAATCTTTCTTCATTTTGTTTTCTAATGTGTGTGAGTGGGTTGGGGTGGGGGGCATGCGTGCGTGAATGTGCAGAAGATGAGAACAGACGGGAGGCCGTAAATATATATAAAATGGTCTAGACTGACATCCAGTGGACATAAGAGGTACTGCAAGCGGCGAATTTGTTTTTATTTATTTTATTTAATTTTTTTAATGGTCTTGATGTTTCTCGCGATTTCTAAAGATCTTTCAACGTTTCCTTTGAACCTTTACTGCTTTTGGCAGCAAATATATATATATATATATATATATATATATATATATATATATACTTTGTATATCTATATCACAAATCACTGCAAATCACTGCTCCTTTGTAGCCTCAGGTCCTCTGATGTTGGACGGTTGACTCTTAGTAACAGAGCTTTCAGAGTTGCTTCAGTCTGTATTACTGAGTTACTAAAAACAACAAGTGTGTAAATAATTCAGGCCCTAAATGTATCCCAGACTTCAACTTTCTGAATCAAAGACAGCTTGAAAACATCTGGACTTTTAAAACCGACTGCACTCTGAGGGTTCTGCGGCCAGATGTGGCGTTCATGCGAGCCCACAGAGACCTGAACTACAGATGCAGCTCAAGGTTCTGCTGATGACAAAAAGGGATTAAAAACTAAACATTTGATCAGTATAAATAAAAATGTGTGTCTCTTTACTTCAATAAGTATAGTTGTGATAGCATTTTTCTCAATAATTAGTATAAACCATTAAAAAAAAGCAAGTAAACTTGTGTATATCAGAAGATTCCTGTATTTGTTAAATAACTGATATATGACAAATCTCCAGAAATGATGTTCTGGCTTTTAGTTTTGGTGTACCACACCAAGATCTTCAATGGCTCCCACATGACCTCCTCAAAAACCTTTTGAGATGCCACTGCAGATCTGTTGTGTGACTGCTGTGCAGAGAGAGATGTTTCCATTTCATTTAATTCAGTTAATTTCTATAGCACCACAACAGCAGTCATCTCAAAGTACTCTACAAAAACATTCACGTGCATTAAAAGTTATCTATCTGCTCTCGTTTTTGGACTTAATTTATGATGGCTGCCACAGCTAATTAATCCTAGAAAAGATAAAACGGCTACAACTCTGTCAGTTTTGCAGATATTGGGCTTAAATGTGGTTCAGTACTCTTAAGAGCTAACTGATCATGCCAGATCAATGCATGAGATTACTTTAATCTCAAGGCTCGACCAAAACGTTTACAGTGAAATTTGATTTGCATCGTTTGAAAATGGAGTCCGAAGCTTTTGTTTTGTAACCTAGTCAATAAATCAGTTCAGTTTTATTGATTCATCTTGTTGTATTCTGTGCGTCTGGTCAAATCCTCTCTTCACATCCATCCAAGTTTAAACTGAAAATATTTTTATGACTCTTTAGCTGAAACCTGCAGTCTGAGCCTCTTCAAGACAATCTTGAGACCTTGTGAATCTTTAATGTTTTGTAGAAGCCGTCCTCTTTTTATTTTCAGATTCTGAAGCCGTGTTTGCTTCAAGAGTTTGTTGATTTTTAGCATCAGCCAGAAGATGAAAGGAAAATGTTCCTCATGCCCGAAGCACGATGGATCCACGATGTGATCAGCTGGGAAAGGTGCTCTTTTCAGGGAATGCTGTTTCTCAAACATAACGTTTTGCTCATTGCGGTGAAAAGTTTGATTATTTTATATTTGATCACATTGAATTCACATAACTTGTTTCCAAAAGGCATCAAGGCTTTTGAACCTGTGTAAAATATGCAGAACACCACACTGATGAATCCATCTGAATGGTGTTCAGTTTGGATTTGCATTGTTTGATCATGCATCTCAGGAAAAATGTCAAATCTGTTAGCAAAATATCACCACTGGGTTAATTGTGTTATTGTGATCTTGTTTATATTTATTATTATTGTGCTAATTGTGGCTTCTTTAAGCCTAATTGGGCACAATTCTGCTCGCTCCACATAATTCAGCTAATTTAAGCTTCTTACTTGTTTAGTTACTATTTGGCTGTTTTGGGGAAATTTCTGCTTTTTTCAAATAATTTCCATGTTTTTGTGCTCATTTCAGCTTCTTTCAATCTAATTGGGCAATCTTGTGCTCTTTCTGCTTCCTTTTGCTAATTTAAGCTTATTTTTACCTTTTTTTTAGCTACTTTCAGCAATATTTTTCTAATTTCAGCCTTTTTTTTTAGCTAAATTCCTAATTTTGTGCGCATTTTTGCTTATTTAAATCTTATTCAACAATATAATATAAATATGTGTTTTTTCTGAGGGCATGTTCTTCAATTTCAGCTACTTTTCAACACATTTTCTTTAGTAAATTTCACTTGTTTTCTGTTTATTTCAGCTGTTTTATGCTAATTTCTGCTTTCTTCAGACAATTTCCACATTTTTGTGCTCATTTCTGCTACAATTCAGCCTAACTGGGCAAAATTCTGCTATTTCCACTTCCTTCTGTTAATTTAAGATCCATTCTGCTTTTTTTTTTTTTTTAGCAACTTTCAGCTATATTTTTTATTTTTTTGCTAATTACAGCTTTTTCAGCTAAATTCCTAATTTTTGTGCTCATTTCTGCTTTTTTAAACCTTTTTCAGCAAACATGTGATCTTTCTGATTTCTTCTGCTTGTTATTCCATTTCAGCTTCTTTTCAGCATGTCGTTTTAGTTAATTACAGCTGTTTTCTTCTCGTTTCAGCTGTTTTCTGCTTATTTCTGCTTTCTTCAGATAATTTCCACATTTTTGTGCTCAGCTCTACTTCTTTCAGGATAATTAGACAAACTTGTGCTCTTTCTGCTAATTTAAGTTTCTTTCTGCTTCATTAGTCAGCTGTTTTTGGGATTTATTTTTTCAGATAATTTCCACTTTTTGTGCTAATTTCTGCTGCATTCAGCCTAGTTGGGCAAAATTATGCTCTTTCCACTTCCTTCGGCTAGTTTAAGCTTCTTTCTACCTTTCTTTTAGCTACTTTCAGCTATTTTTTTTGCTCATTTCAGTTTTTGTTAGCTAAATTCCAATTTCTGTGCTCATTTCAGCTTATTTAAACCTTATTCAGCAAATATGTGATCTTTATGATTTCTTCTGCTAACTTTGGCTTGTTATTCCAGTTCAGCTACTTTTCAGTGCTGTTTTTGTTGTTGTTGTTAATTTCAGCAGTTTTTCAGCAAGTTTTTCTGCAACAAGCATTCACACTGCATTGTCACAGGAAATGCAATTTCTCTGAACTCTCAGAAGGTCCATCAACAAGAGATTAACTAATCAACCTCAGCCGATACAAAATCAGGTCTAACTTGCTCACAGCTACAATGAGTTACAGTTTACTTGGTGGTAGCTGTGGCGGCCATTTTGTATGACAAGTTCAGGTTCTAGTTTTGGACAGGTGCTGATGAACTCAGAACGCATGTGTCAGTGAAGTCAGTCTTTGAGCTGAAAGCACAGAGCTGGCATTGTGGTGGGGCGGGGGGGGTGGGGTCTGATCAGACACCCGCCTCCAGCTGTGGGGCCTGACATGAACCCTGAGCAACAGCTGAGGGGTGTAAAGTTTCTGAGAACAAGAGGTGAACACAACGTCCTCCTGTTCTGTTCTCCACCCTGCAGCCCCAGAACCGAGTCTCAGCAGAACCACGATGGGTCC